CAGTCTACCATTGCCAGAAAATGAATCAGTCCCAGGCTCTAATACTGTAGAAAAGTAAAAATATGAAACCATTTCACAATTATTTGACTACTCTGCAATATTTTACTGTAATACTGTGGGTAGAGGGTCCCAACAGTTCACTATATCCAGTTGAATACGTACAAAGACAAAACGGAAACATTTTTACACATTTACAAATTTCTTGATCAAGCTTATTTTACCGTATTTCAATTTGCCATTAAGAGGTTTTTATTGCTAAATAACTGTCACAATCGGAAAGCCACAACTGATCACACTGTCTCACAGTCACACAACTGACATGACTTACTGGGGCTCTTGAATAGGACAGAGGCAGTGTTAATGTTAGTAGTAATAGCTGATGGCTTTCTTACTTTTTAACACTGGCGACAGATAAATACAGAAGGGTGACAAATGAAAAAAAAAACCCAACATAAAGTGCCGTATTAAGGTGTTGGGTCTTCAGAACAGCTTCAGTGCATCTTGGCATTGATTCTCCAAGTCTCTGAACTCTAATGGAGGGATGATCTCCATTCTTCCCTCTTTTGTGGTTTTGATGATGGTGGTGGAGACGCTGTCTAACACATTGCTCCAAAATCTCCCATAGGTGTTCAACTGGGCTGAGATCTGGTGACTGTGAAGGCCACAGCATATGATTCACATCATTTTCATACTCATCAAACCATTTAGTGACTCTTCATGGCCTATAGATGGGGGTGCTGTCATCCTGGAGGAGAGCACTCATTTATTCAGGGTTTCTGTCACCTGTCTGTATGTCACTGTGTCAGCACAGGAAACATTAAAAGGATTTTTTGTATTAGCAGCTCTGCTTATGAATAATTAGCCATGGTCCAAATATATTATTGAACAGCAACATAAATCTGTTCATGTTGCTCATTAATGTAGAAACCCAAATCATTATCGTTGTTTACAGTACAGTTGTCTTCTGTATCACTGTTGTCACATGCAGTTTTCATTGACAGATGAAAATTAAAAAAAAAACACACACACACTAAAAAATAATTTACAATGTGGAATGTAGGCTTGGGAGGATTTGATAATCTGATGAGAATCTGATACCTCAAACACAGGATCCCCAATAAAGCGACTTAAGGCAGCAAACTCCAGGATGATTGTCCCAGCACACGCAGTACAGGTGTCTGTTTCTGTGCCTGTTCTTGTCTCCGGACCCCTGACACCATATTTCAAGTTTACCTATGAAGGAGAAAAAAAAAAATGAAAAAAGCTTTTGAGAGTCATATTTGACATGCTAGAGATTATATGCTAGAGTCATAATCTGAGAGGATGCTGTGAAACAACAGGTTGTCAAATTGCATCCCTGGACGTGTGTGCCAACTCAAATATTTCTTTTTCTAATATATACATGATCAAATGGTTTATATACATTATTATATTTAGCTGGCCCATCTTTCTTAACTATTATACTGTGAGATACCTTGATAAACTTGTGAATTCATTTTTTCTTCAGTGAAGACAGGCTGTCCAGGCCCACATAAAGCAAAGCAGCCCCAAATCCCAGTGCTCCCTCCATATACTTCACCATTGTAAGGATGTTTTCATCGTGGTATGCAGTGCGCCTTTTATGCCATGCATAGTGTTGCGTGTTCTCCCCAAACATGGTTCCCACTAGCAGATGCTTCTTGTGAAGAGCAAACTCAAAAATGGTGGAGTGTTTTTTAAAAGTTCAGGTAGCTTTAACCCACACCTCTAATCTTGTATTGATTGGACTCTGGGTTTGCTAACTCCTGATTCCAATTAGCATTTGTTGTGGCATTAGCCGAGGGCTTGAATTCTCCAACCTACAGTGTGAATGTTTACATAGTGGATTTGATAGTGACAAGAAAAACACAATGATTTGTGCTTTTTCTTGTCACTACAGTATATATTTGAAAATAAAAATAATGAAATCAGAATAATCTGGGACTACCACCAATAAGACACAAAGGCAGAACTGTGTGTCTGTCTCACCCTGGGGTAAGGCAGGCCACTGCTAGTGTTGAAGGCCGGCAGCAGTCGAAGACCCAGATCTTTGGCCATATGTAGGAGCTCATCCTGATACCACTGCATGTGTTGACCTCTCTCCTTCAGCATCACAGCCATGGAATGCCCGCCTAATAGACCTCTGAAAACACACACAGACACACCAAGAACCATAAATGAAGAATAAAATACAACACAATCCACTGATTTATTGTCTTTTGTCTGTTTAAAATTCCGCCGTGTGTCCTGCTTGTCAGTAAAAAAAAAGGTTTTACTGTAAAATGTGTTACAGCACATTTCATGTTGTGTCTTACCCAAGGACTCGAATGTTGGTTTCAAAGACTGACACTACAATGTCATTGTCCAGCCTCACATCCGACAGGACTCTCCTCACTGCAGCCTCAAACTCTGTTGTCTTATTCAAAAGCTGGCAGTGAGAAACAGCACAAGTCTATAAATATCAGATTTAATTGTAGGCCATTACACAGACTATAAGTGGAATCAAATCCATGACTACTGTTCAGTAAATATTTAATTAAGGCCCCAACATCTCTCTCTACATTCTTCACTATTATAGACACTGAAAATAACAGCTCAAAAAAATCATGGGGTTATTTTCCTATACAGTGTGCATGCTTCATTCATGCTATTTTGTTACTGCCTCCTCTGTGTTCTGTCCTGTTAACATTCGGCTTGACAAAAATGTACTCTAAGACAAATGTCAAAAACACACAAAATCAATACTCACCACAAGAGTATCCAGAGTGTCTATGAGGGTCAAAGAGAACCTAGCAGAGAGACAGAGACAATAACTATTTATCAGGGGTGTTGCTAATGCTAACCCTCTGCCATGAGTAACAAAAGAGCTAGATCAACATTATTACTGCTCAGTTAATACAGTAGATCTCAAACAAACAAAGGCAATATCCTGCTCACTTTCCCAGAGCATCGTCTACATCCCCTCGACTAGGTTCAAGCCCACGTACTCTTCCTCTGCATGTTAGAGGCATCAGCTCATCTGCTGGGTATGCATGGTCCTGGGAAGTACAGATAAACACTCTTTTAACACTTGTACTCTTGCTTGCACTTTTTTAAGATAACCTCAGTCACCTCAAAATACACATGATATGAGTTATGCCAACATGAACGAAGCTTCAAAGGCAGTTGAAATATTTATCATACATGTGGAAACACTCATTATTGTGTTTTGCTGCGCGACTGACAGGCTCCAAAAACATCAAAATGGTGTATTTATTGTTCCATAATTACAATTTGAGAAAAATATGAACTCTTATTTATAACAGACATTCCTTTCACTGCACTAAGTGTATAAGAAATGTCTTTTAAAAACACTCTGTCACCTCATGTGCTGTAAAATAGTCCAGAAACAAATTCAAATATAAGGTAGCAGAACAAAAGTAGAAATTCCTGTTTTGTTGATGTACTTACCATGTAATTCTGATATGCGTGGTCAAACATCTCAACCACTTGGTTCCTTTGGTTACCAGACAGAAGACAGACACCATTACATAACATCTTTTCAGTGGAACCAGTGTTGGTGTCACATTTTGCTTTTAGGGCACTGTGTATTTTTTTTCTCAAACTCACCTCAACCTGAGTTTCTCTTCCTGTGACATTGCCTGTCCAAGGCTGCACAATACTCCAGCCAGCATCAATAAGAAAAGTACAAGCGCCATTATGGTAGGTGGGCAAAGTCACAGTAATATACATACAACTAAAATTTGGCTCTCAGTCAGTCACTGAGCCACTGCCCTTTGCAAACACCTTAAAATTATATAACACCTAAGCCTACACAATCCCATTAACGTTATACCTTTAAAATCATGTTAAAGCACTTTTTGATTTTGCCTACGATGGAACAACTAATCATCAGTAGTTACAGAAAGTATCAAGGAAATATCCCAGTTTGGTGCTCAGTCCTGGCTCCTTCCATTCCATCTGCTTCTTAGCAACATCAAAAACAAGGCTGAATCAATGAAACTCTGTACAATGTGCATTTAAGTTGAGTACCTAAGGCCAAAGCTGCAACCAAACACCTTGTAGGAATGTTATTTTAAGTAACCAGATCTAAGGCTAGAGATATATTACATATTAGCTGCAGCAGCAGCTGTGCAAAGTTGGTCCTGTGAGCCGGTTGGTGTGTCACACCTGTTTACTTTTCCAAGCTGTCACACCGGACCTACTGTGAACAGGATATTTGACAGGTAACGTCTAACGTTACATGTAACCCTAAGCATAAAACAAATCTTCTAACGTTAAGTCAAATGAACCGAGCGATTTAAATATGAAAGCTATAATGTTGTTTTCTAGATGTAATGTTCATGCAGCTGCGATCAAGGTAACTTCTAGCCTTCTCAGCTATCACAATATGCAGACTAACAGTAAACCAAAGCCAGATACACCGGTGATAACACTCCTTGTCATATTTCTGTTTATAATCTAATCGTTTACTTACACCACACAATCTACTGCGAATTAAACCAAAAGTCAAAACAACCTCCTGTTATCACTCTGGCGTTTCAAATGTAAACCTTTTTAGACATAAGTTAATTATATTCCATCCTCTTGACAGTTCTCTATCGTCAGCTTGTCAGACAACCAGCCAAGCACTTCTCGGGTTTTAATTAGCCAGTTAGCCAGCTGTGCTATCTAGCCGGGCTGGTGGCAAAGGACAGGCCAAGAGTACAAGACAAATCCACTAAAATCGTGTCCATTGTAGGGCAGCAGATCTGAGCTGGATATCGCTTTTTTTTCTTCGTTTAAAAAGTATATGATTTTGCCGTACGCTGCTGTTTCTCCAAGTTAGCCTGACTTAAAAACCGGATAACGTTGAAATGAAAACGTCAACAACATCCGCTTCCTGAAAGACAGACGTATTTTGCCCCGGGTTTAGATTTCCAGGCAGCAATTTGTCGAAGGCTGGGAAACAAATCGCTCATCCTTCGCTGGAATGTACAGACACAACTCTAGCCATGACCTCAATTCTACTATTAAGGGTATATAACATACACCTTAGGATAAACACTTGTTTAATGGATTCTAATGACCAAGCCGAAATGATAAGTTTCCTGAAAGTCTAAGTAAGGAAAATAAATATCAAAACGTATTAGTTTACGCCCATTGTCACATGATGCCCTTAGCCTCTCATAAGAGGTCGGAAGAATGAACCTAAAGCATAATGGCGTAACGTTTTACCGCGGTGTATTGTAGGTGAACGGTGTGGATGACGTTATCTGAGCTATTGCTTTAAGCAATATATAAGCAACTGTTATTATCAGTTTCCGTCTCCTCTTGCTGTCTCGGGGAAACTTGAAAAGAATACAACTTTGGCGTTCGTCGTGTGATTCATACACACAGTGGCACGCAACAATTAACACGAACCAACACTTCTTGTAGCGATAGCGTCCCTATCTTTCAACCGCAAAGCACCGCGGTAAGCATTGCGTTATGTCATTGTGTCCATTAGCGTTCAGTAACTTTAGGTACACCAGGGCTTTCATTTGTGAGTAATGCCAAAATGTAATCTTTAATAGCACATTATTATTATTATTATTGTTGATATTGCTTTTCACATAATAAAACACTAAAGTTATAGTAATTACTTAGAGTATTCCCCCATATCTTAAGTGCAACACATTTGCCATTAATACCTAGTTTAACACTGCAGGCCATAGCTTATAGCGTATGAAAAAAATGTGCCCACACAAAGAAACATTTCACCTATTGGGATATCATCATGGATGTATAACGAAGAAGACTTCCATTTTACTTGTTTACTACTTTGTGTAAGCTTGTAGACCTATAAGATTAAATTATCCTGATAACAATTGAACGTAGCGCAAATGTTGTGTGAATTAAAGAATCAACTACAAACAAAATTTAAACTTCTAAATACGATGTTGGAAGCACAATCTACGTGTTTAATGGTGAATTGGATACCGCCTAAGTCACAACTGGATAAAGTCTGTGTTTATTTTTGGGCGTTTCAATCATAAACTACGTTTCCCATGAAGCTTTGCTGTATCACCTGATTTCACATGATGGGCATATGAGCAAAGCGCCGGCTAGTGTCTTAGGAAGCAAGTTAGAAACTAGTAACCTACTGACAGGTAAATTAGAGCTGAATGGAGAGAAGAATTGTATTGTTTTCCGTAACATATTTTAGTTTTTTTTCTTTTGTTAATTTGGTCACTGAGGGAATATTTATGTAGGCTTTTAACAGCAAGATAGTGGGGCGTTAAAAGGTAGATAATTAAATTACGTTTTCTTTCTTTCTCCATGTCTGTTTTCTGTGTCAGGTTATTACATCTGTCATGGCTTTTGCTGCCAACAAAATGTTGACGGGACTTGTTGCAGCTACATTTACTCCGTTGACCACACAAGGGTAAGTAGCCTTTAGAAACAACTTACCTATGTTTGATTTTTCATGTGTGTGGTGTGAGTGTAAGGCATTCACTTCCCCTGTAATGACAGACAGAGAAGAAAAATGAAAAAATTTAAAAGTGAGTTGATGTGCTGCGATATTTGAGAACTGTGGCCTCATTCACTCGCGTAGACCCGGAGTAGCCTTAGTAATCTATTCTTTATGCTAAATGCATAGCTCTATATTTCTCACATTTTCCCATAACAGTGAAATCAACCTAACAGAGATTGGCCGTTACATTGACTACTTGACAGAGAAGCAAAGTATAAATAGCATATTTGGTAAGTTTACAAGTTGATTATTCCTTTGATAATTATCATTGACTGTGTTCTGATATTCCATGGTTGATCTTATTGGTGGTTGTGATGGCTGATGTGCTGTCCTCTGTAAACCGTATTAACCCTCATTTCTGGTATAAAATATATAATGCAGTATAATATGTTGGGTTAGATTACTTTGAAATTTTAAGTTTTTGTACTTCATATAATTTATCTGCAAAAGGGGGGGGGGGAAACATTGTTATGGCACCTTGCTCTGAGATTGACACAGTTTTATCTGATATTTCTGGCCAAAGACGAATATATTTTGCCTCAAGCCCTAATGTCAATCTCTTACACATTAACAACTGACACAGAGAAAAGCTAGATTAGCCTTGATCAGCAAATCTTGTCAGTGTTTTCTGTATGTCCCACATGACTGGTTGTAGTTTCATTTCCTACTTTGTTCAACGAATGATCACTGTTCATGCTAAGCTTCTTCTTGTGCTAATGTTTCATTTCACTACAGGTTCCTGTGAGATCTGTCCCTGTGACCTTACAGCCGATGCTGTTTGTACTGATCTTTGCTTGTTCATCATGTTTTATGTTCTTTCTCATCTCACTGTCATTGTCTGCATCACACATGAAACTGTCTTGTCCTTTCTGGTGGGGGATCCCTCTGTGAATAGGCCCCACCAAAGGCCATTACCTTTTTTCCCCCTCCCTCTCCTTTCCTGAAGGTCTGGTAGTGCCAGATAAGCTAAGCTTTGATGTGTAGGGTAGGTATAGTTAGTCATTTTTCTGTTAGCTGTCTTTTGCTTTTGTGTGTTTCCTTTGTTCATTGTGAAGTATGTATAATGTACTGTTATTAGAGTTGCCTCATTACAATTACAGTAAGATCAGCTTGTTCTTTTTAATCTCATGTGTTTGCATTGTGGAATTAAGACAAGTCTTTACTTTCTTACAGTGAATGGCACCACTGGAGAGAGTGTATCTCTCAGTGTTGCAGAGAGGAAGACCTTGGCAGAGGAGTGGTGTCAGAAAGCCAAGGGAAAGTAAGTCATCACACAGCGTCTTGGTCTGGGTGTTTGTCCATATGTAGAATCCAGGAGAAAAAGAGTTGACAGTTTGTGACATTTCTTTTTTATGCATATGTATGCATGTCTCCACAGAATGGATCAAGTGATTGTGCATGTTGGCTGTATGAGCCTTAAAGATTCCCAAGAACTGGTGAGTTGTTACCTGTGCTGAGAATATTAAACAAAACATACGACTCACGGTGAGGACCCAATCCCAGCTGACACTGGGTGAGAGGTGGGGCACACCCTGGACAAGTCGCCAGTCTCTCATAGGGCTTATATATACATGCAACCCCAAATTATAAAAAGTTAAGACTGTATGTAAAACCACAATTAAAACAGAAAATAGTAATTAGTAAATGAGGAAGATCCTCACTGCCTCATTATAAGCTATCTGAAGCCTCTGTAAGCTTGCTTGTAGTTTGACTAGTGTGCTGTGTACAGTGGTGTACAATATGTTCTGAACAGGGCCATCTTCACTTTATCTGTACACATACCAAACTTGTGCAAGAGAGTGTTTGCTTGTGCATACATCTTGCGACATTGCTTATAAATGTCGTTGTCATCATCTGCCATTTGTTCTGTGGGAAAAAAATGTCCAAGATATTTCATCTTGTTACAGGCAGAGAGATTATTATCAGACAGTTTAAAGACAGGAAATTTCAGACATGTATCCTCTTTGGTGCTGCAGATCAAGACGACAGTCTTACTAGCATTATATTTGATATCATGTTCTTCAGAGCACATAGTAAGGAGCTGTTGTAGTCCAGCACTGCATGGACTAAGAACCGTAAGCTCATCAGCATACATAATATGGTTCACAAGAGTGTTTCCCATGTTACACCTAGTTTTACAGGCTTTCAGCTGCTTGAATAGATCATCAGTATAAAAATTTAAGAGAAATGAGGACAAAATTCCCGCTTGTCTGACACCATTGCTATCCCCAAATGAGGCTGAGATGCTATTGCCCCATTTTACTTGCATAGGCTGGTGGGCATACCAGAAAGCACGCGTTTCTGCAGAGATATGGTCTAACCCACATGCTTTGTTATTTGGCAGCTTATTTATAGCTAGGTACAGTGATCTAATCCCTATTGATTCATTACTCTCAATATTGCCTGACTTATACAGATCACTCTTGATACAGCTGAATAGGTTACTATAGCACTGTCTCTATAACTCAGCAACATTGTCCATTCCAGAAATTCCATTTATGGTCCATGGCAGAGATGCTTTGCAGAAGTTAAGAACTCTTACTTCTTTCCAAAAGTCATTTGCATTGTTGCATAACAGCTTTTTAGCCATAGAATCAGCCCTCATAACTTGCTCATTTTTGCAAATAAAAAAAAAATGGTGTACTTGTATCTGGCATTAATGAGCTTTTTGTACTCAAGCTCAGGCCCTTGTTTTGGCCAGCCTGCTATAGATTTAAAGGCTTCTCGGACCTCAGCATGATACTCTGCTACATACATATTCCAAGCAGGCCTGGTGTTATATTTTTTTGTTTTTATGCTTATAATATGGGTTACTGCCTTTATACAAAGCACTTATAATATCATAATACATGGAGCAGAGATCTCTCCTATGTCCCTCATCCATACAGTCAATATACTGCATGGACTGTAAAGTAGAAGAGAGAACCTGATTGTGGATCCACCACAGCAGTAGCTATACATTGCCCTCGTTTTCATTGTTCTTGGTCACTATGTTCATCTTCCCACCAGGCTCGGCATGCAGCACAGATCGGAGCTAATGGGATAGCAGTCATTGCCCCCTCCTACTTCAAGCCCAGCACTGCAGGTATGAGGTGTTTGTAGTGAGGAAAATAAAGACATTTTTATATATTCAAATGAAAGGTAATTCACAGAGAAGACATGTGCCACCCAACATCCACCTTCACATTTCATTTACTTGTCAAGCTTCTTTGGAAACCGAAATGATTTTTATATTGTAAATGTTCCACATTTCTTTTCTTCTCACCCTTCTGCAGATGCATTGAGAACATTCCTCCATCATGTGTCTTCAGTGGCTCCAGCTCTGCCTTTCTATTATTATCATATTCCAGCTCTTACCGGTGTTGATGGTCAGTGTTGTAAATTGCATTGATTTTGCATTTTTTAAACTATGTTGAATAAAACGTTAGTATCTTTACTGAAGTTGTAGTGAATATGTAAATGTTTTTTTTCTTCAGTGCCCCTAAGCGATGTGTTGGAAAATATTGAGGAGCTTATTCCCTCCTTCAGAGGAGTGAAGTTCACTGGGTGTGACCTGACTGAGTTTGGCCAGTGTGTCAGCCACAGTCGGCCTCACTGGTCAGTCCTCTATGGCATTGACGAGGTAACTATTCTCTCCCCCCCTCCATTTGCTTTGTGCTATAGTTGCTTAAACTGTGAGATAACATTTTGTGACTCTAACCCTGTCCATAAATGCAGCATAAAACAAACTTTCTTTCCTTTTTTTCGCAGCAACTTCTAGCAGGTCTGGCTATGGGAGCCCACGGAGCAGTTGGGAGGTCAGTGTGTGATCCTGCATGCAATTTATGCATAATGTTTTGTTTCTTTTAGTTTTTTCTGCCAAACCGTTTTTGACATATAAAATGTTAATTTCTTGTCCCACAGCACATATAACTATTTGGGAAGTCATGTCCACAAGCTTATGTCAGCATTTGAGAAAGGTGACCTTATCAAAGCCAGGGCCATCCAGGTACTGTCCACTACTCCGCTGTTGTTCCTGACTTGCTTTCTGATAGTTTGCATCAGTTTTGGTCACTGACCTCTTTGTCTAATTTTTCTGAGCAGTTCAAGATTCAAGAGCTTCTCAGTTATGCCAAGAAACTTGGTGAGTAATGGTTGTATATTAATATATTTTTCTTTTACCAAATTGTACATAGTATAAGATAAATGCTCTTGTACTAAAGTAGCCCCCCTCTACTTTTCAACCTGCTTTATTGCTATTAACAGGCTTTGATCTAGGAGTGAACAAGCAGCTGATGAATGACGTGTCTGGCTTGTGTCTGGGGCCCCCTCGATCCCCTTTGATGCCATGTCCTCATGCACGTGCTCTGTCCATCAAACAGAAATATCAGAGCCTTTTTCCTGAAAACTGATTTGTTTGTACTGGATGGCTGAACCTTGCAAGTCTTTGTCATTTTACTCTGTAGAGAGCACCTCATTCCTGTTACACTGACTGATGATCCAGTTACTTTAATATGCTATATTGCTAAGTCGCAATTCATGCTATGCACCAAACCTTACTGTGTTACATTTGAACTTTTTCAACTCTAAACAATACAGTTCCATTTCAGCTACCTTCTGCAAACAGTTTTCTGCAAACGGTGCAAAATATGGTTTATTTGCAAAGTCAATCCAAAATCACTTTGAATATTACAGTAATTTTAACATTTTTCCCAATGTTTCATCTTACGCCTTCATCAGGGGTCAAATATGATAGAATACTTTACAGCACTGTATATACATGTATACAAAGTGTTTCAGGTTTACCTGCACCGATGAAAAATTGGTCTGGTTGAGGTGTTTTCTCCCGTTTAAATGTCCTGGACCTAACTATAAATTCTACAGTAGCAACACATGATGCAAAAGGCAACCTGATCTTTTCATGAGTATTCTCTATGGACATATTTTCAAGAGTTAAACTTTCTCTCTGCTGTGGAAATTTTTAATATTCTAATACATATATTAGTTTAGACATTTTATCATTTAATAAAGTAACTTACATTGCCCAAGGAAGTCCAGCATTTTTTTTTTACTACATTTAGGAAAGTGAGGCCTGAACTCATGTCTGAATCTCATTTTAGGAATTTGAGCTCTCAGGGCCTTATTTTTTTAAGTCTTGTATCAACATTAAAAGCAATTAAAATGATCACAGTGGCCTACTTTAAAAAGGAATGACTTCACTACTGCATTGTCAGAGTCAAAATTTCAACTTTTTGTTGTTGTTGATTTTCCACTGAAGATTGCCTACCTTGCACTGACATTGACAGAAGGGGCATTAATACATGAAATCATGTTGTGCCTAACACTGCAAACGGGATGAATTAAACACAAGAGGTTACAAGGGAGCATACAATTATTGAATGCATACTTTCAGGGTGGTATTGTAATTTTTTTTCTTTGCAGTTTTACCAATTGTCAGGCATTTCTTACTAATAAATCTGTTAATCCATCTGTTGGTTTGCATTCATTGTCTCATTCTTACACTGTTCTTCAGAAGTTTCAAAATCACACAGACATATCTCCAAGACCTGCACAAACATGTGGTGGTGTGTGCGTGTATGTTTGATGAACGAGACAGCACGTGCTTTGTCCATTGCCAGTGAGTGTGTCCCATGGTTGTGTTGTCTCTTATTTTTTACTTGCCTCTGGATTTTTGTATTGATCAACATTTCCTTTTGAAAGCAGGGAAACACTACAGAAGATTGCAGTTTGGATTGCAAGTTATTAAATTAAATGTCATCATGAATGATTTGCTCCAACTGGTAATTAATTTAAATTGTAGTTTTTCCACTGTTAACATTTAGGTAAGTAGCCCAAGTAGTCATTGCCTTCATAGTTTGTGTTGATTGTAAAATTTAGGCCAGAGTAGTTGAAGAGTGGCAGCTAAGAGTGCCTTGTTTAAACTTTATTTGGAAGCAGCAATTTGTGGTGCTTTTTATTTTGCACTAAGCTATATTAGGAAATCTTTTAATATTTATTCCCTTCATTTATATGGATTGAGTGGACCAACAATGGAGAGGTGTAAAACAGTTTCAGCAAAAGGTGAACAATATAACCTTTATGAAGAATTAACTGCAGGTCTGTTGTATTAGACTGCAGTAGTTTTAGATACTGTAGGTGTACCCAATAAATTGGCAGTGCATGTTTTCATTTTAAAAATGTTGACAAATCTGGTAATGGGATATTATTATAAACTAATCGTTTTAATTTTGTATGTTCAAATTGATGCTTGACCTTGAAAACGTGGTTAAATAAAAAATAATGATCTGTAATCTAGATCCACCTTTGTTGTTTTTCAACTCTATTTAGTCTATCATCAGTTGGTTAGTTGATCAATCCTAATTTAATTTTTAAAACAACCAATAGCTAAGTCTATATACTGTAAATTTTACATCATTTTACATTGTAATCTATGACAATGACAGCATTAGAGAAATACAAAACTCAGTACTCTCTTATATTGACTCTTTATGTATACCAATAAGGTGTAACAATAGTAATGCAAAAACATACAATCTGTGCCAGGTGAGTCCATTAAGTCCGCTGGGGTTTATTCACTGATGCTAAAGAAATGAAATTATGCCTTAGCCTTTTGTTCTTTGCATCTTTAATTAGGGCGACACACTGCCTGAGTTCACCAATAAGATGATTAAAGTAGAGTTTGGAGCCTACCCACTTGGACTTGTGAATGTGGGTTGCTATAGAATTTCGCAGGACATATTCGCTTCCAACTAACCACAAGATTCAACATACGTACATCAATTTGCACAATAATTGTCATTTTCCTCAAAAACACTGCATATCTGTCCAAAATAAATAACAGTAAACAGTAAAAAAACAAGC